TCCGGATGCGTCCCATGCACGGGGCTGGCCGCCTGGCAGTTTTAGCCCAGCCGAAGGGTGTCTGGGCTAAAACCTCCCTCTCTGGCTCAGCCCGGGGATCTTCTACGCACCGGCGCAGCTGCGAGCCCAGCGAGGCAGGGGTTAACTATACCCCGTATCAGAAATGCTGTCTGCACAGGGACGTGATTGATGGCTCTAGAAACAGGGCTTGGGACGTGAATCACAATCCTTGAGACCCAGCTCTGGAGCAACGTCAACAGCCCGAGAGACCTGCCAGGGGTATGATTGACAGTCCCCGAAATCTGGCTCTGCTGGGGCTGTCAATCACGTCTCAAGGCGCTGCGGGGCGTCCCGGGTGCATTTGCTGGGTGCCCCTCTCCCCGGGGTGCTGGCAGGAGCGGCATGCTCCCCCCACGTCTCCCCAATCTCCGTATCTGAGGTGCCCCTTGGGGCTGCGCTGTCCGGCTCCAAAGGGATGCGTTGCCTCTGGCCAGAAATCTTTGTCACCGCTTTGGCAGTGGGGTACCACGTTGTGACCCCGCAGCGGCTCTGGGGTGAAACCCCGCGGCTGTTTTGCTGGTTTTCCCAGCAGGCGGGGTACCCCGCGCTTGCGTTTTGAGGCGAGGGGAGGCCGGAGACGGGAGAACCGCTACCGGAGGTTTTCATGAGAGGTTCCCACAGGTCTGCCGTGGGGGATCCGCATCTCTTCCAGGAGGTGCTGCTGTCAACCAGCAAAGCCCCCCCTCCCCGCCCTATGCAGGGGCTCGGACAGGAGAGCGCTGCCTGCGCCGTTTAGGACACTGTTTGCTCCTGCTGCTTCCTAGAAATGTTTCAGGGGGTTGATCCCAGTCCCCTGGCCAGGTTTGAGCCTTGTGCTTTGGGGGAGAGCGGCTGGAGGGGTCCTGCATGTCTGATGCCGGTCCATGCAGCTGATTTGGGTCAGGTAGGTGAAGCCAGGGGTCCCCCCCAGCTGCTCCCCGAGCCATGCTGCCCCTGCAAAGCCAGGGGTAATACTGAAGCGTGGCTCCCCTTGAGAGCCCCGACAGTTTGGGAAGCGCAGGGCTTTTCCTGTCTTGGTTTTGCAAACAGATGGGAGTTTGCTTCCCCGTGGTGGTGGCCCAGCGGTCTCCAGAGATGCTAACGAAGGGTTGTGGTGCACCAGGCACCCCCGCCACCAGCCGGGGCGGTCGGTCCAGGGCTGTACATCTGTACATCTCCACAAGGCACGCCGGCTGTAATCATCCTGACAAGCCACTGGATGTCAGTGTTGATTGATACAGATGAAGCGGAAGGACTATTTTACCCAGCTGCAGAAAAACAGTCATCCTGCGAGCAGTGTGGGTATGACCCAGGTCTGGCTTGGACCTGGAGGTCCATTTCGGGCTGGTAAGAGGTTACAGCAGGGTGGTGCAGCAATTCAGCAGCCCAAAAATGCCTTCGGCGCAACGTGTGGCACCAGGGCTGGGCTTCACACGGCTGCGTTTATGTCTTGGGGGGGGGGGGGGGAAGCAGCTGGGGCTGCCTCTGGACATCTGCCTTTCCGACACCAGGGCCAGGTGGGGACGTGCCGCAGGCAGCACGCGGTTTTATCCCAGCTGAGAAGTGCTGGTTTGGGTTTTACTGGCCTGTTGTCCGCTGTGGGTGCCAGGGACGCTGTGGTGGTGGCACTGCTGGGACCCCAACCTATTTTTGGGAGCTGCGCAGAAGCCGGGCTGCGTGCTCATGTCTACAGCAGTCACGGTTTGCTCTGTTCTTCTATTCAATGCATGAAAATACACTTTAGAAGAACATTATTCTGCCTCTGTCTTTACTACACATGCTCAAAAGCCGGATTTTTTGAGGGCACATCAGTGCTTAGAGAGGCAGATGGGCACCCAGGCAGCTCTGAGCAGCTCTCCAGGCATCGCACCCCCTTTTCAGGCGCATAAACGCCCTTTCCAACCCAGTCCTTTAAAATCCAGCCCCAAGCCTCACCCGTGTTTTGGGGCAGGCGCCTGCAGCCAGGTGGAGTGGCTGGTGCAAGCTCTGGGCGAGCCTGCGCATCGCAGTGCCTTCTGCGCTCCGAAGCGAAGCCCTGCGCACTCTGCACGTCACAGGGACCGTCCGCAGATGTCGGTGCAGCATCAGTGCCTTCCCCGTAAATCATGCACGGAAATTGTCAAGGAAAGAGCGTTTACAAAGCAAGGGAAAAAAAAGAAAATCATGGTAGCATCCTGGCGTGCCAGGTCCTGAGCATGGCTGGCCAAGGGATGATTTCTGTCCCCAGCCCTGAGCTGCTCCCCGGCCGATGGGATTACGGGTGTGGGGTATTTTCGGTGATGCAGCAAGCTGGCTGAAGGTATTGGCCGACGGTTTCCCCTTCTCCTCCCAGGATGCCAAACACAGCATGAGGCCCTGGGTCGGGAGGCATCTGGCCAGGTCCGTGGGATGGCCCCATGCCTGTTGCACACAGGAGGCAGGGCACGTTTGGTGGCAGTGAGCGGACACGCTGAGGACGGGCTGGATGCAGGGATGCCCTGTGCAGCAGCGATGCCGGTGGTAATTTTTGGGATGTGGGGTCCTGCCGGCTTCCGTCCTGAGGGTCCAGCCCTGGATGGAGACCGAGTGCAGGTCCCAGAGCAGCAAAAGACAGGATGGGGAGCAGCCGGCGGGGGGCTTGGTGGTGAGCTGCTGGGGGGGGGCACAGGAGAGAGATGACAGCTCTCCCACTGCTCTCCCCTTTCCACGCTGCAGGCACTTGATGGCGTTGGTGACACGATCTGCGCGGAGCAGCCCCTGGGCTGTTGCTGGCAGCCGCCGGCTGCCTCCCAGTCCTGCCCCAAGGGCCTTCGTGGGGGAAGCAGCCGGGAAGAGCCCTCCGAGCCTTCCCTGTCTTTGTGGGGCAGTTTTTGCAGCTGGCTTAGCAGGCAGGGCTGTTGCAGGGCTCCTCTGAGCCGTGCTGGAGCTGCAGGAGGGGTGCAGCTCTCCTGGTGTGCTTTATACAGGACATGGCGCGGGGCTCTGTGTCCCGCCAAGGGTCCCTTAATGCTTGTGCTGGCCTGGCCGATGCAGAAATCCCTGCTGGCAGAGCAGCTCCCATGGGAGGCACGTTCTAAGCCTCTGTGCAGGAATGGTGAGGGGCTTGGATCTCAACCGTGGCTCTGCCGTAAGTCACTGCAGTCAAGAGAGCTGCCAGGCTGAAGTCACGCTCCTGGAGCCTGAATTCACCTCTCTGGCAAGCCCATAATGAATTCCTGTTGCACCTAGCTGGTAGAGAGCATCTTCCCCTTGTTATTTCTTGCTTGTTTTCCTCCCTAAGGCAAGATAATCCCCCCTCCTCCTTGCCCTGCCTGGCATTTAATCACTTCCCGATATCTTGATGGCCTCTGCCACATCTCAGCAGCGAGAGGACCTTCATTATCTCTCCCTGTAGCAGGTGAACTCTTGCCAGCTTCTGCCTTTACAAGCCCTGTTAGCATGGCTTGGAGCATCCCGGTGTGCGACGGCCTCCCCCAGGCTCACGGAGAACTCCCGCGCCGGAGCAGCTGAGCTGGACACGCTCCTGCATCTCCTGACCGTGTGGGGCTGCATCCCCCTGGATGCATCCCTCGAACCCCGTGGGCACCTCCTGGCGTGAGCAGCCTTTGCGGTGGAAGGAGAGGAGGATTAAATCGCGAACGGCCGAGGCTGTTGGCTGGGAATCAGGAGTGTGCCTTGAGATACAGCCCTCATTACTGCCCTCCACCTTCTCCTCCGCTGTTGTTTTATTTGCTCTTGCTCTCCCTTGCTCTCCCTTGCTCTCCCTTGCTCTCCCTTGCTCTCCCTTGCTCTCCCTTGCTCTCCCTTGCTCTCCCTTGCTCTCCCTTGCTCTCCCTTGCTTTCCCTTGCTTTCCCTTGCTTTCCCTTGCTCTCCCTTGCTCTCCCTTGCTCTCCCTTGCTCTCCCTTTTTCCTCCCTTAGTGACGTTTTCCTGCCTGAACTCTCGGTGAGCTCGTGGCCTTGATGTCTGCCGTTTGCGTCTGCCATGGCATTTGCATATAAAGGTGGTTTTAATAACGTAGGACTGCTAGGAAATGAGAAACTGATGTATTTCACTGCTGCTGGCTCCTCCTGGGCCTTGTAAATCATTGCATAAAGCATTGCAGAGCCAGCCAGGGAGAACTGCTGCCTAGCAACTTCTCCCGATGCCCCAGGGGAGCTGGATGTGGCCCGAGAGCTACCTGAAAGGTCTCCTTTGAAACCCTCAGTCCTGGGGGAGATGAGGTGGAACAGAAGAAAACCTGCTCGGGGGAGAGTTGAAATGTAGTTGGCAGAAGTAGCCACTTTGCATCTGAATGTCTCCGCTAAGCAAAGCGGAGGGATGAGTCAGCCTTTGCAGAAGGGATCTGGAGATGCGGGGGGCAGCAGCGCCATGCCACCGCCCCGAAAGGCAGCAGCGAGGACGGGCTGCCTCCGGGTGGGCAAGGGCGTGGGAGGGCAGGGAGGATGCCTGGCCCTGCCTGCCTGCTCTTCCTTCCCGCGGGCTAAAGGAAGACTCTCAAGGTCATAGTCTTTTATCCTGGAGAAACTTGTCAGTTCGGAGGATAATGAGAAGCAGGAGAGCCAAAAAAAGATGTTAACCCGTTCTGCCCAGACTCAAGCAGTAGGTGGGTGCGGGAGCTGGTGAGATGCGTGATCCACCACTGCAATGTCGACCCCTGGGGCTGCCTGTCCCCAGCCGGGCAGGTTTAATCTGAACCTCCTCCCTTGCGCCGGGCAGGGATTTGGGGCAAGCGTCTGCCTTGCGTCTTCCCACCGGGTTCTTGTCTCCATCCCCATCTTCACCAGTGGAGCCGTCAAGCCCGGGTCTCGTCCTGTCCCGGCTCAGTCACCTTTCTGTCCTCAGGGCTGCGGAAGCCAAAATGAGGTGGCGGGGGCACGCAAGTGTTTTGGGCACTCGGGGCTCCTCATTCATTCTCACCCTTCCACCTCTCTCCAGCTCGCTGCGGGTGACCCCACCGTCACCAACAGACCCCCGGGAAGATGCCGGGGCTGATTAACCAGATGACCTGCTCCCCCCTCCCCCTCTCCGCGTCGGAGGTGACATCGTGCGTCAGCGGCTATGCCTTCGGGATGACAGCCTTGCTCACCTACCGCAACCCAGAAGCCCAGGCTTTTGAAGGCAAGTTTCAAGGGGTGAAGCTCCCAGTGCAAGAGCTACTACGGGAGCTTTAGAGCCAGGGATATCGCAGCGCTGTGTTTCTGTGCGTGTCTTAAATCTTTAGATCCTTACAGGAAGAGTAGCCAAGGGTATTGTGTCCTCGATTGTACCCTCAATGGTCCAGGGCTACAAAAATCCGAGGAGCGTGCATGGAGGTGCCAAGAGGGAGCTGGCCCCTGCGGTCCTGGCTGGTGAGTCCGGGCAAGTGCTTGGTGTGGCTAAAAAACCTTCTGGCTGGCAGGTCTCTTTGTCTACCCGTTGGATGAGTGCACCACTGTCGTCGGGTTTGAGGCGACCGTGTCCCGGCGTGCCGTGACGGTGCAGATCAAAGACAAAGCCAAAATCGATGACACGTATTTCGACGGCTGCAGCCTCCCCGATGGAAGAGCTCGCGACGGAAGCGGTGAGGGGGTCAGGGGCGTTTTACTGCATGTGGGGAAGAAAACCAGGGGAAGAGGAATGGGGAGGTGGCAGGGGGTGGCTGGCTGTCATATGCCATGGCATCGAGGGGGCTCCCTTTGAAAGGCTGAGCCTTGGGTTGTGGTGCTCGAGTCCTTTCAGTGTCCGGGCATTCGAACCAGGGCTGAGGTGGTTGTGGGAGGCCTGGGGAGGAGCGTTTTCCACGGTTGTGACACCGTGTCTCCCTGGTGTGGTCCTATCTCTGTGCAGGAAGGATCGTGATGGATGAGGACTTGGAGAGGATTGTTTTTGTGGCTAACCTGGGCATGATTCCTCCTCTGGAAAGCGTCTCCATCTTCATCAGCACCTCCTCTGAGCTGCAGACGCTGCCCAGCGGGGCCGTGAGGGTCCTTCTGCCTGCTGTGTGTGTCCCCAGGGTCCCCCAGCCCAGCCTGGAGAATGCCAGCAGCCTTTCCAGCCACCAGCTCCGAACGTACGAAAACCCATGGGATCTGTCTGGGACTGGTCTGGGGGGATGCAGGACTGTCAGAGCAGAAGCCCGCTGTTGCTGCGGGAGGCTGGAGAGCTGGGGCGGGGGGGGATTATATCCTGGGGGGATATAACATGTACACAGTGTTGATTGGGGTTCATCTCACCGGCAGGGACAAGCACTCCTCTGGATCGGGGAGCCCGGAGCAAGGGAGCAGGTTGTGCCTGGCTCAGCTGCTGGAGAGTGAGGCCACCAACCCCTTTGAGTACGAGTTCGGCTTCCAGCTTGAGATCCGGGGACCGTGCTTGCTGGCAGGTAGGAGCGCCGGGGCCATCCTGCTGCACCTGGCTGGTTTATCACCTCCTCAAGGCGATGTCCACACTCTTCCTCCTTCTCTGCCCTCCCAATGTGGAGTCTGTTTTGGCAAGTTAACTGTGCGGGGGTGGATTTACAAGTACAGTGCTGGTGTTAACGTGGGGTGTTGATACGGCAGAAGCATCGCATAGTCCGCTTGGTTCCTGTCCTCTGCCATCTTGCTGTCTCTTCTCCCTGGTCTTCCCCGTCCTCACTCCCTAACCACACCTCCGTTTCCCCGGGCAGGCGTTGAGAGCCCCACGCACGAGATCCGAGCAGACGCCGACCCCTCCGCTCGCTCCGCCAAGAGCATTGTGATCACGCTGGCCAATAAACACACCTTTGACAGACCCGTGGAGATCTTGATCCATCCAAGCGGTAGGTGGGCTCTGCTTCCTCTCTCGCTGGTCTTGCCCTTTCCTGGGACCTTCCCCCCTAGTGCTGGAGACAGCTAGATTACCTCTGGTTTTGCAAGTATAGTCAGGGGTTAGGCTTGCTAGGAGATAATCCCGGACCCCCTCAAGGTTGCTCATGCTGCTCAAGCTCAGAGATATTTGCAGATGACATTTGCAGACATTTGCAGATGACACCAAGCTGAGTGGTGCGGTCGACACGCCTGAGGGACGGGATGCCATCCAGAGGGACCTGGACAAGCTCAAGAAGCGGGCCTGTGTGAACCTCATGAGGTTCAACAAGGCCAAGTGCAATGCCCTGCACCTGCGTCGGGGAAACCCCCAGTATCAATACAGGCTGGGGGATGAAGGGATTGAGAGCAGCCCTGCCAAGAAGAACTTGGGGGTACTGGTGGATGAAAAGCTGGACAGGAGCCAGCAATGTGCGCTCGCAGCCCAGAAGGCCAAGCGTATCCTG